CCCCAAAACCCCAAAACCCCAAAACCCCTAAAGAAATTATAAAAATTGAAATGTCTTTTGCAAGAGCAAAGAATAGGGTCAGCATGAACTTCCTCTTCAGAAGTATGCAGAGTCGAGAAAGCATCAAGAAAATAGAGGCTCATAAAACACTTGACTTTTACGACCACAATCTCTCTCAAAGAACTATTAGAGAGAATGAGCAGGTCCAAGAGAAGATCAATTCACTTAGTCGGGCAAAATTAAGAGACCAAGCCCGTAAATAAGCATATTTCCCATCTTGATCGAGCTAATACTCGCCAGATGCTTAACAGAGCGAAGAAGAATTTAATAAAGTCGAAGTTTATCCTCCAGAATATCCTAGATGATGGAAAGACTACTATGCAAATGAAACCTTTTAAAGAATATGAGATTTATTTGCTACCAAATTCAGGAGTTTATTATCATCTTGAGAGAGATCAATTTAAAGATAAAGCATTCTTATTGATGACTTATCAATCTCCAGAAGATGTCATGGTTTATGTTGATAAATAAATCGCCAAGGCCATCGAGTAATTCCTGAGATTTGATACTAAAATCCCCAAAAATGATCCCATTAAATAACACATTTTTCGAATTTTCATCAGTTTTCTTATGATTCAAATGAGGTAAGCTTTATTTTAAAATTTCAGACCAAAGTTGTAATATAACTGTGACTCCATATCCAAACAAGGAGTCCCTTCCAGTGAAGAGTAAGGCAAGAGAAAGTATTAAAAAGAAATTGACTCTGAGAGAACGTCAGGCATTGCTTTTAAAATAATGGAACGAAGATCGCAGATATTTCAAAAACTAGGCATGAAATAGACCAAAAGATGACTCATTTGGCTGATTATCCAACCCAACTGGAGAAGTTTAAACAGCGTATAGCAATGATTAAGTCTAATAAGCTCAAAAATCATTCTTCAATCGATGCAAATATCGAGATTGCAGAGAACTGGGGTTCCTTCAGAAAAATGAAACTTGATAGACTCTCTTCAGCCACTAGGCTTAACAGCAGTCTTGTAATCAAATAAAAGGAAAAGGATTGAGAGACTCAAAAGGAATAGAGAGACTAATACTACCTACTGGGAGCGCAAGAAGAAAGAAGTAATTGTACATTTCTCATCCTAATTAGAAACAAGAGACAGAAAGACAGATCAAAATCCAACATATCCGCCTAAGGTGCATCATTGTGTGGAACTCACAGGTTATACTAACCCAATATTTCTCAGATGTAGCCAGAAGATACAATAGACGAAGAGAAGAGATTGAGCATAGGAGGAACTTAACACTCGCTATCATTAAGATCGCTGCCAAAATGAGGTATTTCAGTCTTCCTTCTATTTTCTCTTTAACAGATTCCTTATTAAATATAAATACTTGTCAACCTCAATTTCTCTGCTGATGGTTGTCTTATAGGTATAAGCTAAAATAAGTTTGGGCCAAGCTATAATATCAGAGCAACAGGATTGATTAGGAAGTAACTCAGCTTCTGTTCATCATATAGTGGGCTAAACTTCAATGTGAACAATATGCATGGCTTATGAGTGGAGAGATCAAAGATTGTCCTAAGAATGTTCCTGCAAAAATAATGATGAAAGGTTTGTCAAGGGAAAACCCCATTAGTTGGTATTAATCTTCAATAGACTTAAACTCAGAGCAGCATTCTTCACTTTCCATCAGAAAATATGTGCAACTAAGAATAGACTAATATCAAAAATGGTCATGTAGGTTCTACGGAGATTAAGATTTAGGAAGAAAACCAGGATGAAGCTATTAGCAGAATATTGGAACCATAAATTGTTCTCAATGATGGATAGATATAAAGATAGGTAGTTAAACAGTTTAATTTCATTAAATTCTTTATTAAATTTTTTTAAGCTTGCGATAATAAAGTTTATCAGAAAATTTTGTAGCTTTCTTACAGAAATAAAATGTTCTACAAAAATAATTCTGTTTACACTAAATTTTTTAAATCCTTTATTAATTCTAAAGTTTCCTAGCTTGTTCTCTAACTACTTCTGGCATGTCTAACTCCGTTTTCTAGCTATAAAAAGATAGATAAAGATCGAATAAAGCTGAACAAATTGAAAGGAATTTCAACCCTTGTAAAAGAAGTGATGATTCTGAGGTATTTCTATCTCTCACTATTCTTCAGATATTATGACCAGTGAAGACTTGAATACTGTCTAAAGTTCTTCACTTGGCGGAAGAAATGCAAAGGTAATATCATTTTCTAAAAATAGAATTCATATAAAAACTGCAGAAGAAGATAACCTCTATGAGGCTCTATCAATTGCTAGGAGAAAAAGCCAGATCAAAGCAGCTGAGAAGTTAACAGAAGATATTATTTTGAGCGATCATGAAGATGACTCTCATAAGAAAAAGAGTCGTCTCACTGCTCATTCTAAACATTATAAGAGATCTGGAGCGCCAAAGAAATATCAGAAACATAATAAAAGACTTCATGGGCCTCCTATACTTGCTGATAGCTTAAAAATGGAAGCAGAGAATATCGATGTGCTAGATAAAGTAAAGAGCATCAAAGTACCAATGACTCGCTTGGGATTGCAGAAATCAGTAAGCAAGGCTAAAGCTATTCTGGCAAAGGCATGCATGAACTATCCTCCTCAGATGAACTTTGTCCCTAGTGAGGAGCTATTAGAGAAACTTATTTGGGCTGCTACAAAATATAGGTACGCAAAAGACATTCCAAGGGTATTGTAAAATTCAGAAAAATAAATTGATTTCAATATGAGCTTTGACTAAAGGGGTTTTGGGGTTTTGGGGTTTTGGGGTTTTGGGG